CACCTGCTGCAGCTGTCCAATCTCAGCACAAGTATGCGTAACTGAAAACCAACAAGATTGCTTGGCTCAGTGGCCAGAACCCAAAGCCCTTCTCACAGCTGTGGCCAATACTTCTTCTGATAAACCCTGTCATATTTCTACTTACTCTTGAGCTATTGCCAAGATTTAATAGCCATTGTCAACAAACTATTTGGTCTGCTATTTGGAAAACCACTTACTCTTCACCTCTCTTTGGGGCAACAAATCTGGAAACAAATCTTAGCTGTTGATCAAATCATCTGGGTCACTCAGGTAGATGCCCATCCTCTGAAAAGACCAAACAGAGTTAAGCACCTTATAGAGACTGCACCAGACAGACTGCCACAAACCCTACACAGCATTTGAATCCTGTCCAGCATGGCAATAAATCTGCCTTCACAGACTGAGCTCAAAGTGAAGGACTCTATTTTCCTGACGCAGAGGTTACCACAGCATGCAAGACTTGGAAGTCATACCAAGAGCTGACCAATATTTCCATGACAATTGATTAAATCAGACCTTTGATCACCTCTCGGGGCTATCGGTGGTGCCTCATCACTGTTGACACCCATTCGGGTCACGGTGTTGCTGTTCCAGAGTGACTGGCCAACTCCAGTGACACCACCGTGGCCCTTGCAAAACATCGGTTTAATGTTTATGGTTTTATGGACCATTTGCAGCCTAACAGTGGTGTCCCATTTTTTTTTTTTTTTTAATCACAAAAGCTACCAGAAAAATGGACTGGGAGTAGAGGTACTCAGTGGACCTTCCACACTTCCTACCATTGAAAGGGATCATTGATCATCGGAATAGCCTTCTCAAAAACTGACTCAAAAAGATTTCTGCCTCTATCTCCCTCATCTCCTCCTGGTCCACACATCTTAGTAAGGCAGTTCAGTTACTAAATATGGCTATTTCCAGAAAGGGATTAAGAGATTATCTCCTCTTGGCTGCTTCATGGATAATTTTTAGTAAAAATATATAATAAGTAAGAATATATCAGTACAACCTACATAAGATTATATACCCATATGAAAACCCAGGATTCTGCCCCGACCACTACTGGCATGACGGGTCCTTATTTAACCCAACAGCGACCCCCAGGACGTCTGGTGGTAGCCCTGCCAGAAGGGAGCCTAGAAGATTCAAATATAACTCCGGTTTAGCCACCTGTATTGTTTTGTTGGACTGTCATGATCCTAGATCAAAAGCATAATAACTACTTGGTTGACTACACAGCTCATCAAGACCTCGTACCATCCCACATGGGCAAAGGTAGAAAACACACTAGGTCGTCACACGCATTTTTAAAAGCCCTTGACCTTCTTGCACCTGAATGTTTGGCAACACAGAACTCCAGTAGGGGATGAGTAGAAATAAGGTGGAGCTTTAGCTACGGAAATGGGACAAACTGATTTGTACCAGTGGAAGATCAACAGTGCAGTCTGATAATAAGGCACCTAGGAAGGAGGTACCTTAGGCCCTGAGAGGTGCAAAGGACGAAGGGATACTAATGATTATTTGTTTTTCAAAGCCACCCTGTCACCTTCCTATGAAGGAAAACACCTTAGTGTTCCTCTCTCAAACTGTTGCAAGTGCCTTAAATTTAACTGACTACTGGGTCTACCAAATCCACCAGATGCTCAAACCACAATCTGGTTGCCATTCCCCTTAGGCTTACTGAAAATTCTATCAGAAACAGCAGGGATGATGCCAGCTTCTGCCCCCAAATAACAACGATCAACATGTCCATTCCCATTGCCATCACTCGATCATTCCATGGAGTGGACAAATACCACCCAGTCTGCGGCATGGACAAACAGGAAAAGCTGGACAAACTGCCCTCAAGCAGTCTCTCCAAAGACAAAGAAGAGACACAATTGTTTGACATGAATCGGGAATGCTAAGGTTTACAAGCCAGCAAGGAGGTCGCAGGCACCATCGCCCAGTGTTGCCTAAATAAACAGGTCCCACTTCGTGTCCCTAACAACTGTAAATAATACTTTCCTTCCAGAGGCCCCATGTGTACCTCTAGGTCTGTACTTTTTGTATAGAATCAGATGTTAACTTCTCTCTTAAAAACAGCACGGCTTGTACTTGTATTCTAGGAGTGGTCATAACTCAACTGCTTATGAAAACATCCTCGATAGATCATTTAGCCCTTAGACAACTGCAAGGCTCTTTTCAGTATCAGGCTACCCTTGATTACTCAGAAGGGGTTCCTGGAGGGATAACTGACTTGTTGTTCACACTCACCCCATGGGTAGTTATTCAATTAGCAAAGATGGAACGTAAAAAAGAATGAAATAATGCCACTTGTAGCAACATGGATGGAAATAAAGATTACATTACTAAATGAAGTCAGTCATAAAGAAAAAGACAAATACCATATGATATCACTTATGTGGAATTTAAAATATGACACAAATGAACTTATCTACGAAACAGAAACAGACTCACAGACAGAGAGAACAGACTTGTGGTTACCAAGGGGGAGGGGGAGGGGGGAGGGACAGATTGGGAATTTGAGATTAGGAGATGCAAACTATTACACTGATATATAGGATGAATAAACAACAAGGTCCTACTGTATAGCACAGGGAACTATATTCAATATTCTGTGATAAACCACAACGGAAAAGAATATAAAAAAGAATACATATATGTATAACTGACTCACTTTGCTGTACACAGAAATTAACACAACATTGTAAATCAACTATACTTCAATAAATTTTTTTAAAAGAAAGAAAAGGCAGTACAAAATTTGTTTCTGACTCTAACTGAAGTAATCCATGATACCACTTCAGCCTTTGAAGGCATTAAGGTCAACATCAACCCACTGTCCATACATTGTTATGGACAATATAACTGCCTTATACTTCCTCCCTGAGGGCCAAGACACGATCTGTACAGTCACTAAAATTCTTTGTGCCTGGACTGTCTTGTTGGATTGCCATCTTCCTAGACCAAAAGGATAATGACCACCTGGTGGAGGACACTGCTCACCAAGTTCCCCTACCATGGCCCAGGTAGACAAAAGTGGGAGATGTATAGGGTCTTTGTAAATTTTTGAAAATGTCCTTAACCCTCTTCCATCTGAATCTTACGGAGGAAAGATCTCAGTGCCAGTGGAAAGGTCTCAGGCTGAGTGGAAAGGTTAATACAGGGACCTAAAAAGAAAGCCACCTCTCTCTAAGGTGGACCCTGATGACTTACGGCATTTGTTTGGTTAGTTGAGTCTGGAACCCTGGTATGATAATAATACAGGTTGGCCTCGTCTTGCTGTTTGGTGTCTTGCTGGGAATAGCTCTATTTTTTAAGTGCTATAGGAAGCAAACTGACCAGATTTGATTCCAGCCTCAGCCAGTCAGATTAATCAGAGTGAACAGTGGAATGGCGTACTAACGGGAAAGTTGCCGGAAGCCAAGATAGTGTAGGAAGGAGGTTTGGATCTGTTGGGAGACAACTCCCCAATGGTTCTCTTGCATTTCTGCCTATCTTATGAGTGAGACACTGACTTCCCTTTTTTCCAGACTACCTTTTCAAAGGACTTTGTATAGAAAGCAGCCTTTGAAAATAAAGATATTGTGTCCTTCCACAGCAAAGGGCGGGCTTGCTTACAGTCTTAGAAATAGTTATTTCCCTCTTGAGCAATGAACACGCATGCTACCTGTCCAGTACAATAACAACACTATCTCCCTTTGGAACAAAGGACAGAGATGCTTTCTGCCCTTTCTAAAAGATTCAGGTTCTCAAAGCTTAAGGTTCCTTTCCTGTAAGGCAGACCACTGTGTGTACAAGCGTCATCTGCAGGACGTGGGGCTCTGCAACTCGTATAAATGCTGATGTTTTGGCTAGTGCCTCCGCTGTGAGTGTTAAACTGTCCTTTGTCTCTGATCAGAAGTCCCATGGAAGGCTCAGAATCTCAGCTCTTGACAATCTCTGTACGTTCACTGTCCCACAGCAATAGTACCCTCCCTAAACTACCATATTAAGAAAAATCAAAGAACCATTAGTATAAGGGGAATAGGGCTTATTTGTTTTCTTTTTAAATGATCCCCTATGATATAGTTATGTGCCTAAATTAGGAAACGATTACTAAGACACTCTCAATAAATGCAATCTTTCACCACATGTCCTTCCTGCTGAAAATCCTTTGAAATGGGTTTTCTTTCTGGTTTCATTCTGTCTTTATTCCTGCGTAGGTAAACTGGTACTGTTTCATCTTTTAAGTCAATGGTGAAGAATGTCAATAAAATGTGTTTACAAATAATACTTAGGGCTTCATGCTATCTGTTTGGATACAGTAATCATTTCAAAGCCGACAAATGTGATGGCATCTGATAAGTAATATCTCAACATTTTATATAACTTTTATCTCCTCTGTATGAAAAAAATCTTGTTATAAAATAAAAAATATAAATAAATGAGCTCTTTTATTTATCTAAAATTTTTGTTTTTTAATACTATAGTACATAATCTTTGTGCAAATTCAAATATTATGAAACTGCATTACTTCAAAGACTAAAGACACCCATTTATTCAAAATTCTCAAAAAGCAGCTATCATTAGTAGTTTCCTAGTCAAATACTAATATAAATGTATATTTAACAGAAATGCAATAGTCTATACGTTGTTTTCGCTTCATTGACCCTGGACCCACTGACATGTCAGTACACATAGACATCTCAATCTTTAACATCTGCAGAGGTGCACAGCATCCCACTACTTTGATATACGGAAATTTCTTATCTAAGTCCTTACTGATGGTGTTTAAGGTTGTTTCTACCTGGTTAGCCAACAAAAACAATGCTGCAGTGATTATTCTTGTATTTACAGCCTTCTGTACTTCTAAGAGTATTTCTACTGGATAAATACCCACCCTGAATGACACGGTTTGCACAACTGCTACTGTTAGGTTAATATGGCCCCTTTATTTATAAATACACAGAAATACCAGGTTAAAATTCTGCTCTCACCTTTGTTGCCAAGGATTTGAGTTTTCCCAGTAGCGACTGTTTATTGGAATATACAACTTCCTCTTCATTATCTTCTCCTTCCATGATAGCACAGCTGTCTGCAGCTGGGAGTTCACACTCCTTTGAGTTTGTGGTCATTACTAATTTGGAATACTTGTACTCCAGTCTAAGTAGCGGCAAATAAATAAATAGATAAAGTGGCTGTTTAATATAAATTAATATTTCTTTGGGGTGGTCATACACCAGCTCATTAAATCGTCGTGGAGTACAGCTGCTCCACCAACATATTCCCTTCACCCATAGCCATAACACTATGTGTTCTCATTAATCTACCGTCTACACACCAATCGTTTCCAGAATTTCAGAGAATCAGTGCAATGCAGTTAACGCTATCATACTTATTTTACAGTGATTCAAGTGTCCAATTATGAAAACCCTTTGAAAAACAAAGAGGAGATTAGAGGTCTGAACGCATTTTTTGCATTTATAAATATTTGGGAACTAATTTACTATGCAGTTTTCCAAAGTTTAGTTCGTAGGATGAGAATATTACATAGGCAAGTGATTTGGTCTTTACTATTTCTATCACTCATTCCTTTCTACTCCCCACCCCACATATTACAACTGTGCCTAGATAATACAGTAGAGAACTTTCACAGCCCAACTGACATGTAAATCATTTTAAAAGAGCCAAATCATATAATGTACCAATATACAATTGGAAGTTACACTCAGTACTCAACTCCAGATTCTGAAAGTCCTGGAGTACACACTTAGTCTGTTTCTTTGCAAGTATCTGCCCACAAGAAATTGAAAGAGAAAAGATGAGGCAAGAAGGCAGCATGATGTCATGAAAAGAAAAACAGACAGAGAAAATCTGCCTTCCTTTCTGAGCTCTGCTCCCATCTACCTGAGTAGCCAGGATCCTCTGTTCCTTGTTTTATAAAAACAACGGATCTACTTCAATTACCTCTAATGTTCTCTGATCTCTCTGTTATCAGAACAACAGTCATTTCCATTTGCTTTCCTAAAGGCCTTTCCTATAACTCCTTCACTACGAGAAATTTCTTGTGTCTCTGAGAGAAACTGTTGGATATAATGAATAACTCTAAAATATTCACAACAAAAGAGATTTCTCAGTTCTTATACAGAGGTTACTTACTTCTGATTCTTTTTCCAGAAGTAGCAAGTTAGAGCCACCAGCAAAACAGCTGTAAAAGCTCCCACACCTGCTCCCACTTTTAGCCAAAAGTCAACTGTTTCGCAGGTTGACAACTTTTTCTCAGGCAAAGAAATTCCTTTAATGCACCACTTAGGTTCATTCCACACGTATAAGGTTTCCTTTGAAAAAATGACATAAGAAATGAGATTTAGAAGGCGAAGGGTTTTGCTAACTGTTATTCACAGTAGGCAGAGAGGATTATTCGGCTTTCATCTAACCGAAGCTCCAAAAAGAGAGGAAAGGGATATAGAAGAGACAGAATAAGGCAATGATGAATGAAAATGTAACAAGACCATGAATTGTCAGATCAGAAGGCTTGCTTCATGCTGAGGAGGTTGAATAAAAATGACTCCATCTGGATATATCATTTGAGCTATTTTCTTCAAATTTCTGATGAGTCCTGACTTCTTAAATCATGTTTTTAAATGAAAGCTTAGATTGTTTCATATAACTGACTGGAACGGGTTTCACCCACTCATCACGTAGGTCCATTTCCCCAAAAAGCCTCTCCGCTGAGTGGAAGAGCAGACCCCGGACCCAGGACATGTAAGTGCAGCACGACCGGCAGGCTTTGGTGTGGGGCAGGCACACAGACTGCACTCCCCGCTTCCCCTGGCCAAAATAAGGAGGGTGTTATTCTGGGTCATCACTACCCACATGAGGGACTTACTCTCGTCCTCCCAAAGCAGATGACTCAATTTTGTTAGGGCAATGTCTTCAAACTGCTCCCTGCAATCAACTAGTAAATAGTAAAATCAATATACTGGGTCTCAACCAGCAATTTTTTTTTAAATAAACAAATAAGACAGATTAGAAACAAAAATCAGAGTATAGTGCATGGTTCCTTATGTATTTCAACATACACAATGACAGGTAGCAATCTGCATGATGATTATATCCAGTGACATTAAATGACACAAGGCATTACATTTTTTGCTCACTGTGCCTCCCGAAATTTTCTGGTGAATGACAGTCATTTATCAACACCCTAACAGAAGCCTAACACCATAATGTTTAATGTCACACACATGCACACACTTTTACAGTTGGTCCTGAAGTGAACAATGTGCAGGAGATTCCCATTTACTCTGGGGAAAACTTTCAACCAAGTTTTGGATAAGAACTTTTTAGAAAGGACATTAGTAATTGAAAAAAATTTTAGTGTAACATTTTCATGAAACTTAGTGTGAATAAATTATTTTTAAAATGGCTCACATGATTTTTATAAAAAGGTGAGGAATGAGGAGGCATGAGCAAGTTGAGCTGCTGCCTCTTCATCTGAAGGGCATTCCAACAAGAAAACTAGACAATGAAAGGGTTTATATGGTTGTATCACATACGCCACACCCAATGCAAATGGCAAGCTGTAATGCCCAAGGAAAAACAAACCATTAAAACTTCATGATTAAAAAGATACATACTTATAAACCCAGAATTTTTAAATTTCCATAAGCCCCTCAAATTGTTGAAGAAAAAAATAAATCAAGCTGTTGGCAGAATTTCTTAGTCATTCTATAACTTAGCCATTCTATGAATTTCTTAGTCGTTCTATTAATTAGGAAGCTTTATCCCTTCATTAGGCCATGTCTTTGGCAAACAAGAAAATGGCTGACACTGCGGCTGAAAAATTTATTCTTCCAGCATGTAGGGATATTTTGAGAACAGGGTGAGATCAATTTGTTGATAAATTTTAAAACTTACCTCTCAGTGATAACACAGTATCTCTTCAAATCGCTACTACTGTATAACATTTAGAAGTAATGCTTAGTACGTACTTAGGACCTGGTATAGATTTTTGAGATCCATTTTGATAAGAGCTTTTATCTTTTGATAAGAGCTCTTTTAGTTTATACCAGCTGTATGTGGAGGACTTGTAGTGTGTAAATTTAACTTCATGTGCTTCTGGATTATATGTCTTTACAGAATTGGAAAAGCAGACTCTCAGTCACTATAAAGTGCAAAACTGTAAAGAATGAAGCAGGCAATAGGATGGAAATGCAGAATTATTAAAGCAATTAAAAGATACTCTTCGCAATATTTTGCAATCATTGTTTTTTCCTATCTTGAGGCTTTGGCATCCAAAGAAATCCACCCTTGTTCACCGACATACTGGAAAATGCAGTGAAAGTTCTCATTCGTATTGAAAGCTCACCAAAGAGCAGACTTTTCGAAACATATTATTCAGAGATTGGAGATGAACATACCCACTTGCTGCATCAAACCCATTTGTTCATTCTTGCAATGGAATACCCTAAGGAAGGACATTTCATATTGTACTAGTTGAAGCTCAATCTCATTTGGCAAATATTTTCAAAATTGACATCTAAGTATTAACAGAAGGGCATATTTAACTGATTTTGGTATTTCTCAAAGTAGATTTGGAACTATGGGTGGGGTATGGGGGGAATTACATACCTCAACATGTCAAACACAACAAAGTGTTCCAAAAGGTATTATTCTTAAGGCAAAAACAGACATTTAAAAAGCATCACCTCGCAACTAACTGTTCCTAACATTCTTATAAGATGTTGAACTGAGGTTTTTCAATGAAGACAGTTTGAATGAGATAAAACTAGAGAAATTGTTGCCACCCCACTGTCTTAAACTTTTAATCACTACCTTCCAGAAGAGAAGTATTAACGAACATTTGGATAGAAGGTCATTTAGCTTTTCAAAACTCCTGAGTTAAACTTCGTGGCCAAAGAAGGGAATGCACCTTTTATTTTTGATTTACTCTTTAAAAAAAAGGATTATAAGATAGTAAGTTTAGCATAATTTTAGAGAAAAGATAAAGATTAATTTCCACTGTAAAGCATAAAAAATGTATCAGTATTATTAGGAGGATTAAAAGGAAACCATTTTTTTTGTGAGGCTGGAATTTTTATCCTTGACCCACTTAAAAGTGTTGAAAAGAACCTGGCTCAACCGTGCCCTCGATGTGTGAGCAGCGTTATATCTGTGGGCTCTGAGCCAGAATGAGCTATCTACAGGTAAGCACACTTAACTGAATTAAACATTTCCTAATTTTCTGATTAGTTTGTCTATTTGGAGACTTCTCTGTTTTGTATTAAAGTATTAATAAAAACATTTTATATTGTTATGCCTATACTTTATCATAAAATATGAAAATAAGTATTGTTCCATAAAACAATTTTATTTTTAGGCATATCTCTATGTGTCTGAGTTTGTGTTTGTGTACTAGGCTTCATGTACAATGTCTTTCTTACTACAGGTTCACTGTCATTCAAGTATGAAAAATACCAATGTAGAGAATAGTTCTCAATGTTTTTTTTTTAATTCTTAAAGGTGGACACTACTGCTTCCAAATACGCTGAATGTATGGCTTTGGGTGGGGACATTCAGATTTTTTCTCCCTCTTCAACCCTCCAACCTGCCAACTACTAGCTCCTTAAGACTTTCCTGGAAAGAACAGCTCCCCTGTTCGATCCCCTTACCCAGTGAGCACCCTCGCATCATTCCATGCTGGCCCGAAAGTCAGTCCTATCCCATCTACCTTCTAGATCTCAGAAACCCCATTGGAATCTCTGATCCTCTGATGCCCATTCTCCAGTAGGGTCCCCACCACTGGTACTGATTTATCCTCTCATCTGTGCTTCTTCAATGTCATTTCAATGGAATTTGGAGAGAGTGAAGTGGTAAGTCATCTTCAAAGAGGTAAAGCTTGGGTTTTTATATGGTACTAGTCAAAGCTGGTGCAGGGAAGTGGGTACTCTCAAACACTATTAGTAGAAAAGCAAATTGATGCAACCAAAGCAATTTAGTAACACGTATCAAGAACCTTAAAAATGTCCCATCTCCTCGAATCCAGTTAATCCCTTTCCAGTAATAAACTCTAAGGAAATAATCAAATGTCTAACAAAGATGTTCATTACAGACTTATTTACAAAAAGATGGTTTTCAATTTTTTCTTAAATGTCCAACAGGGGAATTATTAAATCCCAAATTGCATATATAATAGCACATTTGTCAATAACTAAAAGTCATGTTTTTTAAAAAAAATTTAGTGACAAGGGAAGTGTATTAAAGGCATAATGGAAACAAAAAAATAGAGAAGAGAATCCCAACCTTACTTTAAAAAACAAGTAAGCAAACGAAGGACTGCAGAGAAAATATAGAGTAGGATCTTGATTTACATATATGTGGGAGGGGTGCACGTGAGATTCACTCTTTACGTATGCTTCTTGTGGAGAGTCAGTTATATCATCCTCATCTTAATTATACCTATAACTGCATTATATAAACCATATTTGGGTTTAATTATATCATTTCCTTATACTCTGGGTAAATATCCATAGTCTAGAGCTCCCTTGCTATAATTCATTTTCCCCAATTCCAGTACACATCTTCAGCTACCTCAACATATGGGAGTCTAGGTATCAAACTTGATTTTAAATACATATTAATATCTCATTAAGTTAACTATAAGCTTCTGCCATGCTACTGAATCTCAGTTTCTATGGTGTAAGCAATGCTGGACTAAACAATTATATTTTCAGTGACACACTTCTCCTTAGATAGGTTTGCCTCTTACCTGAAATCCCCTCTTACAGGCACCCTCAATCTCATGGAAGTCATGCTCTGTGCACAGAGGGCAAGCTTCAGCACTCTCCCACAGGAAATAGAATGTGCATCCATCACAGGTACCTGCTGGACACTTGCTGAAATAAAACATGAAAAACAACAAAACCAACAGCTTTTGTAACACCTTCAATTGAGTCCAATCAACATTTGAATGCATGCTGCAAACATACTGGGAAGCAATGCATGGACGCTGAGGAAACACCTGAAAAATAATCTAAAGGAGACAAAAACCACAACAAAATACCACTTTGCACCTACCAAGATGGTGAGAATCAAAACAACAGATATTAACAAGTGCTGTGAGGATGTGGGGAAATTGGAACCTTCACACACTGCTGATGGGAATATAAAACAGTGCAGCATTGGAGGAATCTGGCAGTTCCACACACAATTAAACACAATTACCATATGATCCAGCAATTCCACTCCTAGGTAAATATCCAAGAGAAATGAAAATGCTATGTCCATACAAAAATACTCGTATATGAATGTTCATAACAGCGTTGTTCATAATATCCAAAAGGTGGAAACAACCCAAATGTCCACCAGCAGATGAATGGATGAACAAAATGTGGTATATCCATACGATGAAATATTACTGAGCCATGAAAAGGAATGCTGTACTGATACATGCCCCAACTTGGATGAACTTCAAAAATATTATGCTTAGTGACTGAAGCCAACCCAAAATTCCACGTATTGTATGATGTTATTCAGATGGAAGTCCATAACAGGGAACTCGATTTCAACATTTGAAAGTAGGTTAGTGGTTGCTCAGGATCAGGAAAGGGGCTAAGATTTAGAGAGGTAATAGCTAAAGGGTATGGGATTTCTTTGTGAAGTGATGAAAAATTTCTAGAATTGGCTATGGTGATGCTTGCACATATCTGAATATACAATAACCACTGAACAGTATGCTTTAAATGAGTGAATTTTAATGGTCTGTGAATTATATCTCTATAAAGCTGGGGGGGGGTTTAATTTAAAGAAACAGGTACAGATAACGACCCCCACAAAAAAAAAAGCTGCCGGAAAGTTTCTTGGTGAATCCTTACTGATTGAAGCAAGAAACTATTTGGAAAGCTTCTAATGGGAATGACTATTTTGTTCATGAATCCATTAAAACCAGGGGAATACTGTTGCCTTAGTTCGCCTACTGCACTTCCCTTAGGTCAAGCTGTGTAAATACAGGGCATTGCCCTGAAAACCTCCTTCAGACCTCAGCTGGTGCAGAGTATAGGTGTCCTGAAACAACTAATAGCAAAATGATAGACACACAATAATAGAGAGAATCCAAAAAACATCCCTTTTTAAGTTTTCATTTCAAATGCCTTTCTGATGATACAGTACCCAAACCTTTAATTTTCAGTCTACCAGCAAGGTAAAATTTCATACTATCAGTGAACTAAATATATTCTAAGGTATCCTAATATGAACACTGAAACAAATTTACATGCCTGAAAATTTATGCATTTTTACATGTCTATCTTTCTGAAGTGTCCGTGTACTGCAGACTAAGTGGACATGGGTGGGAGGTAAACAAAAGCAATGCTCTGTACGACATACTTCAGAAACAGAGACCCAGATTGTCAAAACTAAGAACAATGGTGAAGAGCAACTCTTCTGAAAAACGACTTGACTCTCTTAACTGCCTTAATTTCTCCGTTTGTAAAAAGAGAGTAATAAATATATTGACTAAGAAGCAGAGAGATTTTTTTAAAAGGAAAATATAATAGATGAAAACCATGCCACTTAAAAAATTATTCCCACCCTCTACCTTCCAGATCAGTAAAAGCAACACAAAATTGCTCTTTTGAAAAAGATTGTGTAATCAATGAGAAAAATTCTTCAAGAATGCCTTATTTGCATAACAAATGCTTTGCAACTTTCAAAATAATTACACTTTTCTGATCATTTAGCAAAAATTACCAACAGGCTTTCCTGCTCAAGTCTTTCCTCCCTGAATTATTTTCTATTTTATTTTTCCAACACAGAAAAACTTTAAAAGGAGAAAAAACTGTTTATATTGGGAAGATGCAAGAGTAAGTATGCTAAAGGTTGAGAAAAAAGAACTCAACCAATGAAAAAAAGGAGAAAATTAATCAAACTGGCAAAAAGCTCTACAGAGAAGACTTGGGTTACGATTCTAACTGGACTTTCAAATGATTCTGTGTTTTTCCGTAAGTGATTCAACCTCCCTCCCCACCGTATCACTTTTATAATTTGTCAAAAGCAGAATGTCTGCTATACTGCATTCATAGGGTGGTTATAAAGGATAAAATGAGAGAACAATTTGGTAAAGTTTAAAGCGCTGCAAAATATAAAAGACCATTAACAATGCACATCACTTTCTAAAGAACTGGCAGAGCCAAAGAAACAAACAAACAAAAATCAAGATGTTGATATAATTTATAAAGCTGCCATTAGATGTCAAAATACTACAATGATTCAGTGCCTTTCCTTGGCAGACTTCACTTTTTAAAAGAAACTCTTAGGTTAAAAGCAGTTTAGTTTAGAATCAATTCTTTAATTCTTTTAACTCAATCAATTATTTAAAATGTGGAATATCCAAATTTGACTCTTTGTTATAAGCCTAATTGTCACTGTTTGAATCAGGCCTTCCCTGGGAAGTAACAAGAAAGTATGAAGCAGTAATCACTTCAATAGTGCTTACATATATAAACGAAAATAGAAAAAAAGATAAAAGAAAAAAAGTAGTAAGATAGATAAATCTTTTATTGCCAGATATGTGAAATACCATTCCCCTTGCTGACCTGTGTCACCACCATCTTTTCCTCCCAACCAGCTTTTTACAGGTGTCGCTAATTTGTGCTTCTACATAACTTTTGCTCTACGTGACCACCACAGAAACCAATGAGTACACGTTCAAAGAAACGAGACAAAGTTTGTACAGTCTGGCATCCTCTGGCACAGGCAATGCTCTCTGACCTCCTGCTGACTCCTTTTGGCTTTGGAATCTCAGGAAGCTCAGCCTTTCTCTGCCAAGGATGCCTTGTCATTGGCAGAAACCCTTCTTGTGTAGGGTCCATAAGACACCATTGCACCTTGCTCTAATTTTGTTTGCCCTAAGGCTGAAGAGCATCAATCACTTATGACAGAGTTTGAACACAAGATATTTTGACCTAGAAGTCTTAGATCTATAAAATTTTACCAGTCTCCTGCAAAAATCTCCTTTTCTACAGGTTCTACCCTTGGTTAACTCGCAAAAGCCGGCATCTGATGAAGACATGGACAAATTATATTTACTGACACTACCTAGTCCCTTATTTTTTAAAATTTTTTAAAACAGTTTTATTGAGATATAGTTTAAATAGCATACAATTCACAATATAAAAGTGTACAATTCAATGGATTTTAATATATTCACGATATGTGCAACCATCACAGTCCATTTTTAAATATTTTCAAAATGAAAATTCTTTATCCATTCATTTGTCGATGGATATTTAGGTTGGATAGCATACTTGGCTACTGTAAAGAATACTGCCATAAAACATTAGGGTGTAGGTATCTTTTTGAATTAGTATTTTTATTTTCTTCGGATATATATCCGGGAGTGGAACTGCTGGATCATATGGTAATTCTATTCTTAGTTTCTTGAAGAACCTCCATAATGTTCTCCACAGTGGCTGCATCCATTTACATTCCCACCAACAGCATACCAGGGTTTCCTCTTCTCCATTCTTGCCAACATTTATTCGTGATTTTGTTAATGATGGCCACTCTGACTGGTGTGAGGTGATATCTCATTGTAGTTTTGATTTGCATTTCTCAAATAGTTAGCCATGTTGGGCATTTTCCCTGTGCCTGTTGGCCATCTGTATGACTTCTTTGGAAAAAAATGTCTATACAGGTCTTCTGTCAAGTTTTAAATTAGTTTTTTTTTTTTATATTGAGTTATATGAGCTGTTCATATATTTGGGGGGTTAACCCCTTATCAGGCATATCACTTGCAAATATTTTCTCCCAGTTAGCAGGCTACCTTTTCATTTTGCTGATGGTTTCCTTGGCTGTGTCAGGTCCCAGGGCTGGGGTGTTCACTATGTGGCTCAAATGGCTCACTCCTCAGGAAGGATCTCCAAGCCTGTGATGTCTCCCTCCTCTTCTGTATCCCCTCCTAGGGGCACAGGTCCCGACCTGATCGCTTCTCTTCCCTTCCTACTCGACTCCATGTGAATCTTTCTTTACAGTCCTGGTCATAGATGACCCCTCCTGCCAGTCTCCAGTTTGTTTTAGGTGAGAACTGCCCCATATGTAGATGGGTTTTTTTGTTTTGTTTTGTTTTTGTTTTTTTTGCGGTACGCAGGCCTCTCACCATTGTGGCCTCTCCCGTTGCGGAGCACAGGCTCCGGACGCGCAGGCTCAGCGGCCACGGCTCACGGGCCCAGCCGCTCCGCGGCATGTGGGATCTTCCCGGACAGGGGCACAAACCCGTGTCCCCTGCATCAGCGGGCGGACTCTCAACCACTGCGCCACCAGGGAAGCCCTATCCTCTGGCTTTTAATAACTTAAAATGAATAGACAACTGTTTTGGCTTTAACAGTCCTTCCCCAAATACCAACAAAAACACTAGCATCCAATAGATCCAGCGACTTTGATAGAGAGACTCTAAATCAGAGCCTGTGAAGAAACCCCTGGTGTGCTCGACCTCTGAACACTATCAGGACAGAAGTGTGAAGCACCCCTTTTGTGAGAGACAACCTCCTCAGAAACTACACGTATAATGAAAATGAATTTGGATTTTGAAGGAGGCTTTCACAAAACGATTTTGGATTTATTTATCAACTACCCAAGCAATTAAATATGGTCCTAAGTTGTAAGAAAGAGAGGAGGAAGATTTTCCTCTAACTCAGAACATTAATAAAGACGATCCTGTTTGAGGAAAGATGAGTCATTAAAAAGAAGGTACCAATCACTGGCAGATCAGTTGAGCTGTCCCCCGGATAAATGTGCTACTTGCCTCTGTTAAATGTGCTTCTTTGCAAATCTCTGTCTATATGGGAGAGGGGGAAATGACAAGATGAAAGCACGATGGCATGAAAAGAACAACAGACACAGTCAAGAAATCATTCCATCTTGACTGCGCCACTCTATAGCTATGGGTCCTCGGTGTTTCCTACTGTATCAAGTAAATGGGTTTGATTGAAGGATCTCTAATGGGCTATGACATCCCCATTACCAGAGTAAACATGGTTCCCTCTACCTGTTTTCGAATAAGGCTTTTTAAAAACTTTTTCAAACCTTTATAAAACTTTGCTGTTAAAACTAACAGCAATTTCTCATGCTTTTGAAAGAGCACTTTGGACACGTGCTTAGGTCTAAATTTTTCCTAATGGAAGGAGAATCCTGGATTCCTCTAACCATGCAGGATCACGATTAGGGGTTTGGAAAGCCTTTCAGGCAGAAGCTGGAGAGGCATTTATTTATGGATATTAGTGGTCGATCGTGTTCACAATTTATTCTTTGGCCAAAGTACAAACTGCAGTAGATAATCTCAAAAGTCCACTCCGACTCTGATTTCATCTGCCACAGACATCATGCTGTTAAGTTTAATTGAAAACGTCTCACACCCTCCAGATACTTTGTGGAATTAGAAACCAACTGCATTTGCCAGACCAAACTGACAGGCTGTTGTTTCCAACTGCTGTTTAGTAGGCGGTCCAGAATATTTGCCGCTCCTTCTGCACTGCATGTGAGATGCACGGAGAACACAGCTCCCCTTTTCTCCTGCCCCTTTCACTTTCTGTAAAGACATTCTCATTGATATTTTCCCTGGTCACCAAGACACAGAGCCCCGGCCAACAGTACTACTGCCAAAGTCGCCTTTGCCTGGTTTGCCAAGATTCTTGACCGAGGGAGAATTCCAAGGGATGGCATCCCTTCCCAACTGCCAAGGACTCCCTATAGTGACTTCCTGGTCAGCATATGAGACGTCTGCAAGGCAAGTGCCTGCTTAGCACCTTTCTTTCTCTCCTGGAGAACTTAAAGCTCAGATAAGAAAAATGCAAATTAAGTCCTCTTCAAAAGTAACCTAAGTAAATTTGGCTCTGTTAACATTTCTGTTAGTAGGAAATCTTTATTCAGCCCTACAGCTTAAAGAAAAAAAAAAAAATTCTAATTATTTCCGGACAAGCTGCTGTTTCTCATGTTCTGATCCTGGTCCCAGAGCTCCCCCTTGTGCCCTGATGGAAATCGATTCAAGAAAGAATGAAAAAAGTGAGAGAGAGGCATGGACATATATACACTACCAAATGTAAAATAGCTAGCTAGTGGGAAGCAGCCGCGTAGCACAGGGAGATCAGCTCGGTGCTTTGTGACCACCTAGAGGGGTGGGATAGGGAGGGTGGGAGGGAGACGCAAGAGGGAGGAGATATGGGGATATATGTATATGTATAGCTGATTCACTCTGTTATAAAGCAGAAACTAAAAAACAATTGAAAAGAAATTATGCTCCAATAAAGATGTTTGAAAAAAAAAAAGAAAGAACGAAAGGCCAGCACATTTAGGTTGTGGGGTTAAAAGCATTCCCTAGAGACGTGGTCCTCAGACTTCAGTGTGCGTCATAATTATAAACAGAGCTTCATCAAAATATGGGTGAAGGCATCCACCCTGTAGACCACGACCTTTTAATTTAGTTTTTCAGAAAACTAAAATGCAAAACAACATGTGAGAATCTATGTCAGAAAACAAAAAAGTCAAATCTCCAAAATGGGGGTGAAGACCAATGGTTCTCAAATTTTAATATGTATCAGAATTGTCTTGTGTTTTTATAAATATTCCTGTTCCAAACACTCGGAAATTCTTTAGGTTTCAGGGAAGGCCTAGAAATCAGTTTTAAAATAGACACCCCACTCTGATGCTTTTTGCAAAAATGTTCCTATAAAAGGGTTTCATCTTCAAGGAATTCAAGGAAAAGACTCTGACAAGTACAGGTTTCTGGTAACTGACAATACTGCTGAACTGAATGAGCAAGCATTTTCAGAACTCCAGTGGAAAAACTGATACATTCATAAAAGTGCTAACAAAAGATCAAGACGAAAAACAATTAATTACATGGGACTGAGCGAACTGATGGGATGATTATAATTTTTGTGACTTTCTGTTTGAACAAAAAAAATGTGAGCTAAAGTATTAAAATGATCGATTGCTTTAAATAAATAAATAAATAAGAATAAATTGTAAAATTAAAAAAAAAGATAGACACCCCAAGGTATTCTGCTGCATATGATCTTGGGAAACCCTTGCAAAGACAGTCAAGTAGAAAACACTGCCTGAGGTCAAGGGAGGAACTTAACTTTTCCTCTCCTCACAGGGAAAAAAATCAGTTTCTAGATGCCATCATTTAACATCATGAGACTATTACTTTCTTATTACGTTAAAACATCAGAATCCACCTTGGGAGAGTTAGAGTGATACATTTTCTAAAGGACAGAGTTAGTCTTCAGTAACATTATCTGCTTAAGTCATAGGGGCTCCTGGAGGAGGCTTCAGAAGTCACCCAGGTGGACTCCAGAGAAGTGAGTTGCCAGGTGCGAGAAAGGACCTCAGAAGTGCTATAGTAAATAAAACAAACCTCTGAACTTGAAGTCATATGGTGGGATATCAGAGGATAGTGAAAGAATCTCTGGATACACCTTCTCATAAAGAAAGTGTGCTTGCTGCCTCAACTCCAGCGTGAACACTGGCACAGGGATCCTCCACCACACGATGCCCTTGAGCACCAGGCTCCCTCTGTTTCTTTCACTGATGTCCATTACCTTTTATTATGTATGGCGCTCATCACATTCTTCTCTCACCTTGCAAAGGCGAGGAGAAAAATTAATACATACATCTACGAGAACCAGAGTAACAGTGTTGGTAAGAGGTGAATGCTAGTGTGCCTTTATTCATAGAAATGAGCCCAAAATACTGTGTTACCACCGTAATTATTTTTAAGATGCCCAAGGAACCGGAGCAATGCTTAGACCACTGATTTCCAATCCTGATGTAACATACGCAGGACAGCTTCAAATCTCACAAAAGGTTACGGTGAAACTATCAAAAACAAAGTTAGGTCAATCATTTTTTTAAAGATAACTTTTTGCTAGCTTGACGGAGAAAAATGTGCAAATCAAATTATAATCCAAAGGTACCTTAACCCTAAAAAGATTAGAAATAATCTACATACTAAACAATGAATAACCATAAAAAATAAAAATCAGGAGACATTTAAGCTTCACTCAGGCCATGAAAACAGTCTTTAAGTTTACAGTTTTGAGTCCATGAAACTGCTTCTTTTCTCCTACTGGTCCCACCCAAGGTGGCTGTATTAATCAGATCTAGACTGTGGACAGCTGTTGCCTCGATGCCAATCAGTTAAATGAACCGTGTTACGTATTGTAAAGGTCAGACTCTACCTTGGTGATTTCGCCACCAGTGATCAGAAAACTGAAGAGTTGGAAATGCATCTAACCTGACCCTCATCCCCTTATAGAGAAAGAAACTACGGCGCACAGGTTAGACTGCTTAATCTAAAATCTAGATTCTAGATCACCCAGATGGTCCCTTGCTGGGGAAGAATTGTAATCCAGGGAAGTTCCTAATCCAGCTCTCAAGAAAGTGGAGGCTAGATAGTTAAGACTCAATCCAAGGATACAAACAATATAGTTATATATTACTTAAATAATTTCCAAGACAATTAGACACTCAGGCAAACCAGACGAGAATATGTCATTGAGGAGACTGCGAAGTGCTGAGATTGGCAAGGGCCTATACCTCTCTACAGGCACCCAGCACGTCTGTACAAGAAAAATCTACAGATTCTTTGTTCCCTTTCTGCTTTATATCCATAGAGAACGTGCTTTAAAATAGTAAGATTCTGGAGAGTTTTTCTTCCTAATAAATACAAGTATGGAAGAATCATGTAGAAATAAGACTACCTGGGTACTGAAATGGTTCCAGCTCCCGGTTTAGCAGGATTACACCTCATTTTCACAGCAGTTGATCGGCCTTTAACACAAGAGGTTGTAGTTGTAGAAGACCTATTGGAAGAGAAATGCTATTTCACAAAACATATATGACACGCATTTCAAAGACAAAAATAACCTGTGTGTAATTGCTCCTATGCTCTATGAATAAACGAAAAAATGTATCAAAGTTCGCTAATTTAGAATTTTAATACATATTGAGTTCATTTACTGGCACTGCCTATGAAAAGCTGACTGCTCCCCAGGTAAAGTCATACGCTATGATCAAAGGATTTAAAGCTATTGTAATTATAATCAAAATTAGAAGCAAAAGAATTTTTTAAGAGATTAGAGGTCATAGCGACTTAGGCTGATGTTTTGATGTGTGAATTACAATTACTGCCTAGACAATGAAGTAGAGTCTCTTGATTGCCTAATTTAGAAGATTATATATATGAGAAAAATGACATAATGCTTTCTACATATTCCCCGTTTCCTATTTTTTTTACTAAGTCTTTCACTTACGAACCAATTACTGACTATCTATTAGGTATAAGCTACCATGCTAGGCACCCTGAAGTGATGTCCTATGACTAAGGAAACAGTCAAGAGAAGCAGCATGTTCACTCACTTATAAAAGAAATGCACATCTGGCGTTTGGCTTGGTGAAACTGGGAACATATCTTCTTTTATATTAATATTTTGCAATGTGGTTTCAACAGTCACTCCTAGACAAGAATAAAAAAAGAAACTATTAAGCAATATGGGAAAATTAGGCTTATTTAGTCTCTGTATATCTAAATAGAAAATAGCTTTACTTTGATGCTGTCATTTTACCAGAAATATCCTCTTAAATTAATGCATTCTTGGTAAGAACCATAAACGTTACAAAGTTTCCAGAACAGAAAATAAAAGATTCTACTCCCTAGTTTTGCAATTTTGCTTAAGTCGCTTTACTTCCCTGATTCTTATGTCTTGAATTTGTAAAATGCATGCAATAATTTAGATGATCTCCACCGTCCCTTCTAGTTCGAACATTTCAACAATCTACTATTATCATTCTCAGCCTCTTGTGAGTTGTGTCAAACGAGCTGGGCTACTTTGCTAATGCACCTTTTCATTCATTCACATTCATTACAGACACAAGTGACAAAACAGAATTTTTCGTGCCCTAATAATTTCCAGAAAAAAACTCCAAAATTTGTTTAATCTAGGAGTAAGGCATTCCCCACCCATCCACCCCAGGCAAAATGATAGCAGAGCCAAAACGCAAGCAATTACAGCAACCTTTGTTCTAGCAGAGTTCTGATGCTGAACACAAACTCAGTATCTGTCCTCGGTGCTGAAAATTATAGCTAGATTCCCCTGGAGTCTCTCACGATGGTTCTCAAATCTGGCTGCAGACTAGAATCATCTAAGAAGCTTGTTACATTATCATATGCGTTCTTAGATCCCTAATCCCTACCCCAGATATTTTAATGAACTTGATCCTTAGGAATTACTAATTAGGGACCTGAATTATTCTTAAAGCTTCCCTAAACTTTCTAGACCGGAAAGACAGGAGGGACAGATGGGGAATAAAACTCAGCACATTCACTCTTGCTGTTTGTCACCAGATTACTTCTGGTGTGAGAAGAGATGATGAGAACTGGTGGCAGATACTATGATTCAGGTTTATACTGTGTTTGTTTACTCTTCTTTTGTTCACAGTTTTGGGAGTTTATCATTATTTTGCTTAGAGAATCTGATGAAAGGCACAGACTCTCAGAAAACAACATACCACACAAGTAAATACATAAATGCAGAAGCTTCTTGTATTCCCTGAGAATGATCAAAAGATCTCACTTGCAGGGGCTTTTTAACCATGTTATAAAGTGATGGTTTAGAATTACCTGTAGGTTTTAATCATCGATGGTAAGCACCAGTGCAATGACAAGTTAGCAGTACCATAATTTTAGAGCAAATGCATGCATGCATATACGAACCAAATTAAACTTACCTAAAAATACATCTGCCAGAATGATGGACTGTGATGATAAGGCTGCTCGGAAGCCCTTACTTTCAGAAGGAATAATAGTTGACTGACATACAAATGCTCCTACCAGGTTCGTATAATCATCTGGCCCTGCCACCACTTCCTTTACTGTGAAGTCGGTTATATTGTTGGTGCAGACAGCCAACTTCTTCCCCTAGGAAAATAAAGTCATAAAGAGGTTTCACTGAAGGTCAGTCTCTAAACTGGATCTCAGCTAGCTAGTGATTCTAGCAGAGCATGGGCTCTCTCCTCACCACAATTCTGGTTTAACTGATCGGGTGTGGGCCCAGGCACCAGTACTTTTTAAAAGCTCTTGAGACAATTCCAATGTTCAACCAGGCTTGAGAGTCACTGACGTCATAATGAATACAGTAATTCAAGGCTGCACTGCTGCCCCAACTACAAGCATCATTTGTGCTGGATGAAAGCCATCTGACTTAAGGAAATATAAGTCATCTGTGAAATCTTCAATTCTTAGGACAACAATGCGCATAAAGGAACCAGAAAACTGCTGGTGAAGGTTTTAATGCCGAGAAAAAGGACTTGCTCTTCCTTCTCCTGTACAGGCCTGTGTGTGGCAGAAAAGTAATGTCAAAGCTGAAAAAGAAAACGTAAAAACCTAGGACAACAACTGAACAGCTGGTCACTAGAAGTGTCTTTATTCACCTACTCTTAGACTCAATGATGTGGATCTGCTCAACTACACAGTATGTTGAAGAGTATACAGGAACTTACTTTTTTTTTTTTTTTTTTTTGCGGTACGCTGGTCTCTCACTGCTGTGGCCTCTCCTGTTGCGGAGCACACGCTCCAGACGCGCAGGCTCAGCAGCCATGGCTCACGGGCCCAGCCGCTCCGCGGCATGTGGGATCCTCCCAGACTGGGGCACGAACCCGTGTACCCTGCATTGGCAGGCGGACTCTCAATCACTGCACCACCAGGGAAGCCCAGGAGCTTACTTTTTTAATCATTTGGAGGGTAGTGAGAAGATATAACTTATAAAATGGTTTGACTCTTATTTTTTTTTAATATGGTATGTCTAAATATACTACAGTCCCACTGCAAAGGACTATACCTTACTCTACAATTTCTATGAAGAAATATATAACGAGAAACAGAAACACTGTTTTATTGGTCTCAGATGTAGAGTGTGCACAGACGGGCACAAAGAAAAGAACAAAGATTTCTCTTCCTTAATGCAGCGAGCAATCCTAACCTATAAAATGTTCTCCCTCCACCAGGCCGGCTCACCGCATTACAGGTGCAACATATTGTTAATAAGCTTAAATTAAACTCTTGACGTCATAAGAGAAGAACAAGGAAAAAGAGCAGAGAGACTCTACTGAGGAAAAGAAGAGGGAAACAACAGGAAGAGGAAAGGAATGCGAATAAAGAGGAAAAAAGGAGAAGGAAGACAGAAGAGAGAAGAGGAAAGCAAAGACAGTGGTAACACAGGAATGAGACTGAGAAGAAGTGTGATATACAGTGGAATTAATCTTATTCACTGCTTTACACAGCATTTAACCCAACAGGCATTTAATTTTTTTTTTTTTAAATTGAGTGAACCGAGTGACTGATCAATTGGGTGAGTGTGCTGGATCACCCCATGTAAAATCAGGACAGGACAAATGTCATACCATGTAAAATGTATAGATCTTTTCGTTTGAGAACTTCTGTAGCCATGAGACGTCTTTTTATTTCCCTTGCACAACCTTTGGCACAGCATTTCATAACGGAGACCATTAGAGACACAGGAGTTAAAACGGAAAGAGACACGGAGGAAAGGCCTTAGTATATTTTCACCTTTGCTAACGGGAAATACACACACATACACCTCAACCCCGACCTTCTATGCCCACAAAAATATTGGGCACGCAGTCCTGTAACTCTCCCATTACCAGTATCCATTCACGTTCTGCTTCTTGCCAAAGAAAATTAAATCCCATTATTTATTAGCAGAGGCTACCTTATCAACTGGCACTTGTGCCCTGCTTGCGTCCTTTTTATTTTTGGACAAGCTTCCTCTGGAAAGTCCCTTCTTTTTAAAACGCAAACTTGACCATATAAGCAACAGTCAAACTTTCTCAAACCTTAACTTCCTGCCTAAAAAATAGGTGGGATTGACAAGCCTGACCCACTTTTACAAAAATGAAAGATCCTCAAAGCCCTTGCTCCGTTGCTCCAAGCTTTGGGGGTTCAACTGACTGGATAAAGTGCTTTGATGGAGTGAGAACCAGACAAGGTTGCCCCTGGTGGAGAAAACTGCCAACGTGCTAGGAAGCAACAGAGGATTTAAGCTGTCACAGCTCAGTTTCTAACATTTGGTTGTTAGCTTCCATAGAGATTTTATTGGTCCATCAACACAGAAAATACCTCAGTCAGAGCTGAAACATAGCTCCGTCTCACCCTGCCAGCCAGAACTCACCTCATGCCCACATAGACTGATATTGAAGAAATGGAAGTATTTTGTTCCTTTGGAGGTAAAGCTGGGACCATTCATTAAGGAGCCCACACTGCTGAGGTTGCTGAAGTCATAGTGCAAACTCTGATTTTCTTTTTCATAGTAGAAAAAGCAGTCACTGTAGCAAACTGAGTGGTCCTTTGATTAAAGATTAAGAAATGTAAAAATCCAAACAAAACAAAGCGGAAACAATACGGCAGGAAAGAAAGCATCAGCTGCTATGAAAACAAGGTGTTTCCAGAAAGTTCTAGGTTTAAAAACTATTTCAGTAATCTTGTCTTAGTTATGGTATATTTCACCACACGAATATAGAAAATGTCTAAACTCTAGATTTCTCTACGCAAAGTTCAGAAGTGTTCGCATTTTTTAACGGAGTAAAGTTATCCTAAGATTAGTTTCTTACAGAAAGGTATTTTAATAAATAGCCAAGATGTCCTGTTATGCCAGTTTCAACAGACATTCAACTATTTTTTCCTTCACTCAGAATACAGCATCCATCTTTACCCTTAAAATGTTATGAGACATTCTTGCTGTTCTCCACATACGCCTACAGCCTACATATAGTGAGGCACCTTACTTGCTCTACCTTAATGGAATACACAAGAAATCAGTTTTAATATTTTTGGAAAGCATTCTTTTTTGGATCCCCTTCTTAATATTTTATGCCCCCGGTAATTAGCCCTTTCATGGCACATATTAAGTGCTCAACAGATGTAAGATGAGGTAAAATAAGAAAGGGAATGAAAAAGCCATTCATAAATAAAACTAGCAACTTCATAGTTCCTGGAGAAACATTAAGAGGAACCTTTGGGTTTGTCTATTAAAATATGCTTTCCCGGGGATAAGTGAAATACGGACCCACTTACCTGAGTGCTTCTACTCCCAGGCCCACATAGAATACAAGCCTCCTTGCCATAGACCTGATGTATGGACAGGTAGGTGTCAGGTGGACACTCCTTGCACTGGTTGGTTTCTTTCTCAATGTAGTGGCCTGGGGGGCAGGGGACACACGATGAGCCCAACTGTTCAGAACCGAGGGCACAGGCACGGCACGAGGACGCCACCCCATCAACTGCATTAGCGGCAGTGATAGAATAAATCTTCACCATGTCATTGATGAACCGTCTATTCTAAAAAGAGAGCAGAAAGTAATGACCTCTGCCTTGGCGCTTAGTTGTACAACCAGATTGTTTTATGTTCGTATCACCAAAATAACTAAGCAAAGTGTCCCAGCCAGTGGATTAATAGTATTCCTTTTTGGTACTTTTTAAAAATATATTAAATCTTAACACTAGAAACTCATTTCCACAGTAATGGAGTTCCAGGAATTTGGCCATGAAATTATGTCATAATGGGTACAAATTCAGGCATATGTATAGACTTGATGTCTGGTAAAACCAATATGATTTAACAAAAGAGCAACCTTAGCTCCCATCACTGTTTATTCACACATAAGCCTAAATGTCATGATACAATAGGTTCTTTGCACTGTGGCAATGTTGAAAAGACTTGGACCAGGGATTAAAAACTCCTCACTCAAACACTAACTGTGTGATAGTGGCGCAATCACATCACTTCTTTGGGCTTTTTTCCTCCCTCTCTAGCACTTTCCTTAACCAACATACTCTGATTTCTACTGGATGCATAACAGAGAGTAAAAACCTGGGTCTTACTATACTTTTCTTGCTTGTGACACTGAGTCAATTAAGGTCTAGTTTTCATCAAGCAGTGAGCACCACTGTGTCAGTAGAGCACCGCTTCTTAATGCTTTCTGTCTGGGGCAAAGACTCAAGGGAGGCAAGGAAGCCTTGCACAGCATGTTCACACCCCACAAGGTGGGAATCCGAGCACTCATAAAAGAGCAACTGGAGTCAAGTGAAACCTGGGGAATGGGTTCCCCAGTGAAGACCTGAAGAGAAAAGAGAAAATGCTCTACATTTGCCACCACAATGTTAAGGCAGCGTCTTAAACCGTGATTTACCTTGTTCTCACCCTGGAAATGCCACAGCAATGGAGATCCACAATAACATGTAATTGAAGCATATAATAGAAAATATTTAGGGGAGGATTAAGGTCTATTCTACTACGGAAAGTAAAATAGAATAGTTCTGTGTGTTAACCCGACAGTGTGCACATACACACTCGCCAAGCTATAAAAGGAAACAGTCATTCCTGTATGAAGTAATAAACCAACATCAGATAATGCCTCCTGGACAAATGCCAGATCTTTCAGACGAAGGGGAAGAAAGTCACCACCTTCCCGAAGTCTCAGAAAGCTTTAAAAGTAAGTTTTTAAATAACTACAAAATAAGATTTTCTTTCTCTTAAGCTTTTACCAACTATATTTGTTCAAAGTATAGAACAATTCAAAGATACATTGTGTTATTCCATTTCATATTTTTTCTTGCTCTCAAAACAGAAACCCCCCAAAAATACCATTTTTATACCAATCTGCTCCGTAACCAAATGATTGATTCTACATCAGGAAAAAGCTAAGCCTTTTCCTCCAGGAGATGTGAGGAACCACTTTGTACAAATCTCCACAGGCAGAATCATCTTTGTAGCTTTTATTTTCTTTTAAGTGCTTGGAACTTACATCTTGACCCTGATTGGTCCTCTGAAATGCCCATGTAAATGTAAATGTGGCATTCTTGAAGATGACATGGGTGTAAGCTTGTTTTTCTTTGGTTCCACCCCATGATTCGACCACGTTGGTACTTTTTCTATTAATATCCTAAAATATAGTAGAAAAAAATACATACAAAAAACCACCAACTCAGTATTAATATACATGTATATACATTACAATCATATGTTTGCATTTACAGTAAACCCTACAGCGTTCATGAATATTTATCTGCAGAGCATGTAACCCTAAAACCCTCAAAAACTTCCCTTCAAGTCTACACAAGCACTTACTAGCTGAGTAATTACAATGTATCAACCACGTCATCAATATAACGTGAAAGAGGTCTCAAATCATAGTTATGTTTAAGGAATTTTTCTGTTGGAGGGAGGGGTGGTGTGTGTGTATGTGTATGACTCCAGCTTAGGAAATATATGCAGAAAGGGAAACATAATTCCTCCAACTTCTGACAGTAAACTTCTAGGATCCTCATAAAACGACAAGGCTTTCTTTCCATCTTTTATCTTTTCCCTTGAGGGATTCTGATAGGCGGCTTTTACACAGGAATTCTAAATTCTCCCTGAATTATACTTGCAATTTCCAGTGCAGATTAACTATAATGTTATTTTATGTTCATGTAATCTTCTTTTGCTTATACTTGAATTCCAAAAAGATTAATTTGTGTAACATCTTATTTCTGATTTCCTTAGCTAAATTCAATATTTAGAATATTATATAAATGTGTGACATTCCACCAATATTATGTCATTAACATGGTCAGAAAGCGAATGCAATAAGTAAAGCAAATAATGTAATACACATCTAATTTATTTGAAATGAAAAACCAAGACTAACTCTGAATCTTCTAATTAGTCTTCCCTGCAGAAACCCTAATAGATGACTTAGGAATCTGGATAGGTTTTTGTTAGTTATCCGAAATGCTGATAATACAGTGGCCTGGCTCAAGACATGTCTCTTTCTTTCTATGATATAAACGCTGACGGCAAGCATGTTATAAAGTAATCAGATATGCTATAAAGACATGCGTCTTGAGTTCACACCACAAGCAGGAACAACAGAGTATGCCTGTCATACGTCACAGAATTCCCCACATTACCAAACAACCCAATAATCACACATGCCGCTTCCTAAAAGGAGCTCATAATATACAGACAGTGCTTTGCTGAACACTTTCTGGATGTTTATTCCCATAATAAATGGAACATACTGCATTACTGCAAATAATACCACCTTACCTTTGTAAAACACTACACGATTTTGAAAGCATTTTGTTGTGTTATTTAGGTGCTGATATCTCAAAAATTGCTGTGCAGAAATCAAATCACAGAGTAAAGATAACTAACGGATCCAGCTATGAGCAAAAACCTCTTAAGACTGATTTACCAAAATAAATATCTATGATCCCTACCCTCAGGAATGCTAGATCAACAGAGAGAGACAAATATATGAATACATTCACATAATTAAAGTAGGGTTTTCTCAAAGGGTTTTAGGAGCACACTGGAGAGAGTGGTTAACTTTACTTAAAGGAATAAAGAGAAAGCTTCCCAGAAAAGGTGAGGTTTGAGCTGCCCTCGAAGTATGAACGGGAGTTCACCAGACAAAACAGCAAAATGAAGAAAGTCATTCTAGCTTAGAGTGTGCCAAGGCATGAGAAGTGAAAAAGTACAGAGTGTTCCGCTAACAAATTCAGGGTGTCTAAAGAGGGGTGAGTAGTAACAGCAGTTTGGTAACAGAGGCTGAGCAAAGAGTACAAAAGCCATACAGATGCCATGCTAAGGAATTTTAAGTGTATTCATAGGCTATTGGTTCTCAAACTTTACTGCACTTCAGAACCAACCTCAAGGCTTGCTAAAATACAGAATGCTGGGCCCTATCACCAGAGTGTCTCATTAAGACTAGGAAGGGGGTGCTTCCCTGATGGCGCAGTGGTTGAGAGTCCGCCTGCCGATGCAGGGGACACGGGTTCGTGCCCTGGTCCGGGAAGATCCCACATGCCGCGGAGCGGCTGGGCCTGTGAGCCATAGCTGCTGAGCCTGTGCTCCGCAAGAGGAGAGGCCACAGCACTGAGAGGCCCACGTACCGCAAAAAAAAAAAAAAAAAGAAAAGAAAAAAGGACTAGGAAGGGGTTCAGAAACGTGCATTTCTAACAAGTTCCCAGATGATGCTGGTCCAGGAACCACATTTTGAGAACCGCTGCCACAGGCAATAAAAAGCCACTAAGGGTGAGGGGGTAGATTTGTTGTGGCTGCCTCTACTATTGTTTTTATGTTTATAAAGGTAAGTTTGACAACAGCATTTATGAGAGGATGGGGATGAGAGGAATAGATAGAGACTATTGCTGAGAGATAATGGGAGTCTGAATTGTCAGTAATGGCACTCAGTATGAAGAGGAACTAATACACTGAAGAAATAAGGAGGGAGAGCTAAGAGAACTGAAGACTTCTCGGTTATTTGTGGTGTCATAGATAGACGTGTTGAAGATTCTTCATCTTCTTTGACTACCACAAAGTCCTTTTTATTTTCAGAACGAAATAGTCTGCCTTCATTTAAGCTATTAGTAATCATGAACAAATATTTAAATCTCCATATATCTTGTATATCATGGAGGACACTGTTAATGGACTGTTAACTAGCTACTAAAGGATTGTTGGAAAAAAGCAAAAACAACTCATGTCTATGAAGTCACTACTTAATTATAACATTAAAGTCTTAGCCAACAACCTTCTAATACCTCCCTGGGGTCTTAAGTAAATTTTGTGTTACCACTTTTTCTCAAGCTATTAGTTGAGATTTATAGGACATCTAGGAAAAAATGGGCAAAATTATGACATGTACATAGCCAAATCCTTTGTCTACATTTATTTACTTAACAAGGAAGGGTGTTATTTTTCCCAAAGCTCTCCACCTCCACTGTTTTGTGCCCTCACTTATTAATACATGCTTCTCCCTCCTGATGGTTTGAATTGCTGAATGGTTCCTAGGGGAGAATTTTCACTCTGCTGCTGGCATATTTTTTTGAAGGACTTTCCTATGGGATTAATATTTTCTGGCTTCTGTCTGTCACCCAGGCCCCATCACTCAGTTCTCTCCACAAGGAATGAACACTTCCTTTGTGGACTTCACCACACAATGTTTAATGAGTTCCTCAGATAACTTTTTAATGTTTTTGGAAGACCCTAAAAATGGGAAGAAAAATGGGATTCTTATCGCAATTTGTACAAATAGGGTCACACTTCAAAGAGAACGCTAAGCGTAGAAATCCACCTCTGAGAGCCCCTCTTCCACTTACCACCATGAAGTACAGAATACAGTCGGCTGAACAGAGGGTCTCAAACACAAAGGTTATTCTTCCCAGTTCAGAGCCCATGGCTCCCGTCATTGATGTCGGTGGTCTATTTAACAGATTAAAATTGCGATATTTACAGCATGTTCTGAATACAATCTGGAAAAAGTTACATGACTTTTTTCATTAAGCTGAAAGCCACACTCTCCTCTCCTCTCTGGGCAGTCTACTGCTGCACGGAGTCTACACAACCATGGTAATATGCTCAGATCTCCTGGTGTAAATACTGCCACCCAGCCTACAGCAAGAAAAAGACTCCTGCTGGGCAATTCAACATGGGGGGCCAAAAGGATTAAACAATTTGTAACATACTACTTTACAGACAGAACTTCGAGAAAAACAAATAAATAAACCAAGAGATTCTCCTGCAAATGACTTAGACTAAGATCTCTGAATTAAGCATCCAACAGTCACAGTTTTTTGTAATATTTGGATAGAGTATTTTTAAAAACTTTGGCTTCATCTAACTAATATACAATTAACAGTTATAGTTTCTATAGATATTCTTAAATATAATACATTATCCTACACAGCTTGCTATTTGCTACGTACATCACAATATTAATATATTTTATAAAGGCAGCCCTACTTCATCTATTTCTGTAGGGAAACAGGCAGGAGGATTCCTACAGAAGGGAATCAGAATTGGTTTTCCTTACTTAAATCCTGGGATATGCAAGTTTAAGATCAGGTAATCATTATCGGAACCTCCAGCCCCACTCTGGATATGATCTCCAGCCACCTCCCAACCTAGAAATGATAAAGGTTATCTTTGTCAGTAAAAATTCCAGTAATGATTTCCAACAATCTTTTTATATAAGGCCACAAAAAAAAGAATCCCCAATTTTAGACTGCAGGTGCAAACGGCATGCAGAGGTAGACTCCTAGATACCGATAAAAACGTTGCATATGATTCTCCAGTAGGAATCAAGTAATGCATACTTTTGCATCAAAGGTATTTAATGGTCAAATTAACAACAGTTTTCTCAATGAGGCATGATTTTTTTTTAACTAGAACAGACGGTCTTTATCCATTTCGATATACTAAGATGAAAACATCCTAGTCTTCAGGTAACCAATGGGAAGCAGAAACTTCAAATTACTCGATGAAGATGCGGGGTCTGGAGTTCTTTCTTAGAGTTTGTTGTATTGTTGTTCCCTAATTTAACCCCTGTTCTGCATTCACTCACTTATTCACTCACTGAACTGGCTTTTACTGAACGCCACGAACCATGACCTACTTTAGGGACAGAAAGACAAGACTGGGTCCACCCTCACTATGGAATCAGTAGACTATGAGAGACATAGCTAACAACTGTTAATAGTATGAGGTAATAGAGATGCACATGAAAGGTGACGTGAGGTCTGTCTTCCGCAGAGAAACCATCAGCGTGCCACGGGCTGAAATGGCCACCATGAAATGAGGAAAGGAGATGCAGCCCTCACACACCATCAAGCAAGGTTATTAACTAATGGCAGTGCTTAACATGGACACTTGTACCTCCAAAAGAAAATGTCAACTTCTGCTACTTGAACAGGCATAAGAGAGAAACTGGGAAGGAGATTAATATCAGTGCTGTACTGGTGATGTGGCAATTTTCGAAATGTTATCAGCAGTTCACAGAAAGGTGATATGTGAAGTATACATAAATCAAGCTAGTTCGAATAATGGTTATGTGCGAAGCTACCTGAGTAAGAGAGAAATGCCAATTGTTTTGCTCTCTAAAGGTTCATGTGGTTGAAAAGAGAGATAAGCAGCTATCACTTCCTAATGCTAAGAGTAGAACAGCCACAAAACAGTCTGACCCAGTGGGACACCAGGCCCTTGACTGCAGTGTAAGTAATGTGAGAGGCAGTTAAGCGTAGAGACTGAAAACTTGTGATGGGGGTCACAGGGAGAGGGATATTCCCACGTGGAGGAATTCTACACCACGAAAGGGGGGATTTACGAAGGTTTCTCTAAGATCATTTCCTAGTGTTCAGCTGGCATGCGGGGCAATGGAATAGCAGAGAAGGCCAAAGAAAAGAAAGGAGTAACACGGATGATAAGCATGGAGGTTTGCAGGGGACCAACAACCTTGCAAGAGGAAACAAATATTTCTCATGTTTGAACATTGCCTGTTGCCACAGGTTTTACTGTATCCCCTCCCAAGAAACATATACTGACGTTCTAATCCCCTGTACACATGAATGGACCGTATTTGGAAACAGTCTTGGCAGATATAATCAAGTTAAGATGAGGTCCTTAGGGTGAGCCTTAGTATGACTGGTGTCCTTACGAGAAGAGAGAGATTTAGACACAGACACACAGGAAGAGCACCGTGTAAAGACACAGAGACACAAGGAAAAGATGCTCACGTGAAGACAGAGGCAGAGACGGGCTACGCTGCCACAGGCCACAGAGTGCCTGGAGCTACTAGAAGTTAGGAGACGCAAGGAAGGGTCTTCCTACAGATGCTTTTCTTCGGAAGGAACACAACCCTGCCCATACCTGCTTTTCAAATTTCTAGTCTCTGGAAAGTGAGAGGGTAAATTTCTGTTGTTTTAAACCCCCCAGTTTGTGATACATTGTTGCAGCACCTTTGTCTTTTGCTTTATCCCTCAGAATGAATCCCACATTCTCCATGTTTCTATACACAATTTCTATTTTTTTTTATAAATTTATTTATTTTTGGCTGCGATGGATCTTCGTTGCTGCGCACAGGCTTTTCTCTAGTTGCAGCAAACGGGGGCTACTCTTCATTACAGTGCGCAGGCTTCTCGTTGCGGTGGCTTCTCTTGTTGCGGAGCACGGGCTCTAGGCGCATGGGCTTCAGTAGTTGTGACACGTGGGCTCAGTAGTTGTGGCTCACAGGCCCTAGAGCGCGGGCTCAGTAGTTGTGGCGCACAGGCTTAGTCGCTCCGTGGCATGTGGGATCTTCCCGGACCAGGGCTCGAACCTGTGTCCCCCGCATTGGCAGGCGGATTCTTAACCACTGCGCCACCAGGGAAGCCCCACAATTTCTATTTTAAGATTTATTTTTGTTTTAGAAATCATATTTATATTTATCATAAAATTTTGAAAGCTACAGAAAAATTTGAAGATGAAAACTAAAATTATTTATAAACTCATCACTCAGAAAAAACTACTGTTAACATTCTGAGGTGTTTCTTTTCACTATCTTTTTGATGCATACATGTTTTTACAAAACTGAGATCTTATTGTTGATAACATTTTGTTTCATAGTTTTATGAATTAACATTATTGCATAAGCATTTTTATGTATAAAGTCTTCACCAACATGCTAAATAACTAAATTAATAGCTTATCATGTAGACAGATGTAATTAATTCCCATAATTTACTAAATCACTCATACTACAGGACTTAGCTCCTATTGACCATACATTCAACATAACCATTTGGACTGTTTTATCTTTTAGTGAGCAGAAGTGACACTATAACGAAGGTATTTGGGGTAAAGCTTTTCTGTATTTTTCTAGAAAAGAATCCCAGTAAAAGAACTACTGGGTCAAATAAATATATTTTTAAACAAATATTTTGTGCTGTTATCCTGATTTTGAAAGCAATGTGTATACATGAGGAATATTTATTAAATAGTGTAAACTAAATGAAAAAAATGAAGTAATTCAGACTTCTCAGAAACCTCCCACTCCCAAGTGACAGACTGAACATTTCAGTGTGTTTCTTTTCTCTCTTTTTCTAGTGCATAATTTTCTTAAAAATATACTTTAGGTTTTATGTATAATTTACTGTATTTTCTGTCTTTCATTTAGCATTATCGTCTCACTTTTCTAATAATCATTATATCAAAAATACTTCCCCATTAAAAATCCTTTCTATATCTAGTGTTAAAGAGTTAACAATATGTTGTATGGTTATATCATCATTTTATTTAATCATACCCCATTGTTGAAGACTTCGTTTTCTCATATTTTTGACTCTCATAAATAACACTAAAATTAACATATTTGTCCATCATTTCTTTCTTTACACCACATTGTTTCCTTGGTATAAATTCCCAGAAGTGGAATTATTGAGTTGGAGAATGGGACCATTCAAAATGCTTGAAACACTGCCAAATTGTTTTCCATCTGCTGTCATTTTTAATGATTACATAACATTTCATCCAATTAGTACAGCATAACTTTTGTAAACATTATCATATTGCTGGAATTTAGATTATTTCCATTTTTGGTATTATAGGTAATGCTCAATGAAAGCTTCATGAATAAACACTAATTTGTTTACAACTCTGAATTCCTCTTGGGCGAAATTCCAGTACATGAAGATGTACTTCTACATACCTGTTCCACAAGTGTGGTAAATTCAGATTGACAAGACAAAAGAACCTCAAAGTACTGCAAGTCACACAGTCAAGTTGGTCAAAGCACATCCACTTTAACTCCATGATGGAGTAACGACTTCATGAGACAGGCTGCCCTGGGCCTCTCGCTTTGACCCCCATTATTTTGAGCACTGCTTTTCCCAAGGTTGGTTACTGTACCACCAGTCACAAAAATATACATCACCTTTTACCTCTGTATTTTTCACATTACTGTCTGCTCTTTCAATATCACATACTAAATAAATATTGCAGAGATGTATACTTTTTAAATTAATAATTGAACATTTCTGAAAATCAGAAAAAATTTAAATTACAGCCTCTAGTGAATGAGTAAGCAAGTGGCTAAACCAAATATTGTCATGAGAGTTAGACTAAAAGTAACTTCTTTAAAAGACTAAATAAAAGTTTCAGATAATCTTCACTAATAAGTGAATACACACACATGCACACACACACACAAATGTATCAATGCTTTCAATACATTCCCATTCTTATTTTTCCTATGTCTTAAACTTCCTCAACTTAGAGTTCAACCAAAGGATCTTTTTGGAACATAAACCCTTATAGTCGGGTAATTACTGCTGTGTTATTTTTTTCTTCTCCCTTAGGATAAATTCCCAGAAGCAGTATTATTAGTTGATAAAGAGTACTATTCCATAATGTTCATTATGCATAAAGGCTTTTTTTCATGCATCTGTTTAACCAAAATTATTCAAGCACCTACGATTTGTCAACCTGAGTACTCATGTGTACATCTCACTTCCTACAATCCCAAGCCTGTTTATTTCAGATAGGTGCTGATTTAAAACAGATGTGATTAGAAAGTTTTTTTTTTTTACAATGACCTAAAATACGGTATTGAGAAAAAGTGAACTGATAAAAAAAAATGCCAATGAGCTTATAAAAGTAAAGGGCACATTTTACTGTAAAACCCTAGTATCTATAACACCTATTTCTAGTGTCAAGTTTAAAAACACATACATAGGGCTTCCCTGGTGTCGCAGTGGTTGAGAGTCGGCCTGCCGATGCAGGGGACACGGGTTCATGCCCCCGTCCGGGAAGATCCCACATGCCGCGGAGCGGCTGGGCCTGTGAGCCATTGCCGCTGAGCCTGCGCGTCCGGAGCCTGTGCTCCGCAACGGGAGAGGCCACACAGTGAGAGGCCCGCGTACCGCAAAGAAAAAAAACAAAAAAACCCCCACATACATAGACATTGTCATTCATTTGACCAACAAATATTGCAGAGTAACTAAGTGGTAGGCTCACCATGCACTTAAAATATAAGAACAAATAAAATTCAGCAACCGTCCTATAGAACTCTGCCACATTTCCAAGTTTTCAGTAAGTGAGGTTCATATACATTTGTAAACACGATCACAGACTTCATAGGCCAGGGTAGTTAGAGATGATGTAACCCCTCCTCATGGCTCAGTGCTGAGCCAGAAAACCAATCTAGGCAGAAATGCTTTCATACGGTGTTATATATACACTATGACTCTTCCAAGTGGCAAACAACACAAATTTCATTGCCTCCCTTGGTGATCTATTCTGGTATTTATAACAACCATAAATGGTGATCCGCAACATCTACTTCAAAACTGACTCCAAAAAAATGCAAAATAGTTTATATTCTTAGAGGGCAGTCATGTGGCTATGACACCATATTTACTATTTTTATGTGAGGTCTGGGAAGACAGGCAAGTAGCCAAATGCTAAGATTGAAGTTCCTCATAGCCATATTTAGTGTGTTTTTACACAGGTTGAGTCCAAGAGTCTCTACCACCAAAATACACTGAGAAGGCTGATTCTGAACTTACCATTCATTCCGTCACACTTTGAATTCCCAACATTGAAGCAGGAGGTTTTCATGTTGCCAGGAAGGACATTCCACCATTTATATTCAAACCCAAGGGCAGGCTCTGTTCCTGCTGGACATGGTCTACATTCTACAGGAGACAAATGGGGCAGAGAATTACAATTAAATCACATCCGGATAACTTCCTCTTCCTCTGTTCCAAGCACTACTAAACTTTAACTAGCAGAGAGGCAAGTGGAAAGGAGAGATAGTAAACCACCAATTCCCTTAAGAATTAACAACTTTTTCAAGAGCAGTCTAGAAAGAAAAATAATTCTGGATAGAGTATGCACATATATGATTGATTAACATGAAAAAGGAAAAGAACACAAAATCTTTTAAGATTATTTTTCCTTGCATTTCTGGGAATAACTGCTCATACAGAAATTACCTTCCATAAGAAGGGTGATTCTGAAATAAGTTCACTTACATGTGATCTTAGAATCAGTTTCCTCTACATCATAAATAAGGAAATATTCCACCCTTCCTACTAGTTACTAAACTTAACTGACTATTACACCATTTAATTATGGACTGGTTACTTGAAATTCAAAATATTGGCTATACTTAAAAGTGATGATGGGAGCTGAGGGGGTGTGGAAAGAGTTAGATTTATAAATAAACCTAATTTAAATTAACATCTATGACACTAAATAAAAGGGTCTCTTACAATCATTTTTTTATTTAGTCAAGACACTTGGTATTATCACAACAGTAAAAGAAGGGGAGAGAGAGAAAATGTTCATTGAGCAAGCATTTCCTGGTACCAAAGTACTGGAGGAGACATTTTTATATAACCTGCTCAGTGATGACGAGCTAGATATTATTGTCTGCAACTTTACAAATGAGAAAATTGAATTCAAATTAGTGGCTAAATCACACTATTGGTAGCCTGCAGCAAGTGGATTTGAACCCAAGTCAATTCAACTCTCGAGTCCTTTTTATGCTCTCAGAGGCTCTGGACATTAAGTATACAGCACAGCTATATTCAAGTAAGATACCGGCCACAGAAATGCACTGTAATCTTTATCGAGTAAAACTAAAACAAATTCCGTAACCACTTTATTATTGTTTGGTAAGTACTAAATTCTTCCCAAACATACACTTTGAAACAATCTACTTAGGAACTATTTTAACTGCTATCTGATCAAAATAATCCATTTTTGCTATTATTATAGCACAAAATGTGATTATTCCAGTTGAAATAAAAGTATTTTATGCTTGTATCAATATATGTGTGCACACACACTGGAAAAGGAGCGCTTATCCATAATCACTTAAACTGGTGGAACTTTCTTATAAATATCCAAAGCATCAACCCATTGAGAGGTTGTGTGTTACACAAAATGCCATTAAAAACTATCCTTATGCTATGTTGAATAAGCTACTGCAGTCTCACAATTCCCTTATATTTCTTAACTCTTCTTCAGTCTGTGAGATAAGAAAATTGTGTTTTAAAATTTTTCCGGGGCTTCCCTGGTGGCGCAATGGTTGAGAGTCCGCCTGCCGATGCAGGGGACACGGGTTCGTGCTCCGGTCCGGGAAGATCCCACATGCCACGGAGCGGCTGGGCCCGTGAGCCATGGCCGCTGAGCCTGTGCGTCCGGAGCCTGTGCTCCGCAACTGGAGAGGCCACAGCAGTGAGAGGCCCGCGTACCGCAAAAAAAAAAAAAAAAAATTCCATAAAAACAATTCAGGACAATGTCAATGTGGTCCAACAAGTTTATTTCACTCAAGGTCCAACTCTTGAACCAGCTGATATCACGTACCCTTTGTTCCATCCGAAAACGTTCCAGGAGGGCAGGGATGGCAAGAAGAAGATCCATTGTTATAAAATCCAGGGTTGCAAGGTGGACAATCCTTCTTCTCTCCAGAAGGGGGCAACCTAATAGCATCTGTGAGATCCTCCCGGCAGATTTTGGGCTCTATCCACTTGTACATTACCTGCGTCTAGAGAGAGAGGAAAAAAAAAAACATAGGCTTGCAAGTCATATAACATGCTTTATTTGCTTCAAACTTCCAATAACGAACATGTTAAATTGACACGGTAAAGATTAGGTAAAGTCCAAACAGTGATAGAATAGAAGGGCCAGCTGAAGAGAATCTAAAACTTTAGTAACAAAATGAGACAAAAAGAAAAAAACACTTCGGTGGGGAAATGACCATTACCTCCAAATGTTTTTCCACTGAGCTGCAGGAGGCCTTACGTCATACACAGCATGGCCTCATCATGAAATTCCTCTCTAAAATACACAGAACATGCTTGCAGCCCTCACTCTTCTAGCCACTGTTCACTTTATTCCCTAACTGCCCTAAGTTTCTATGCAGACTCCCTTTCTCACGCTGAGACCCCCACTACTCTCTTCCTTTCCCCTATCTCTACAACACACATCATCACGCTTTGCACACAGTGATCACCAAACAAAACGGCTATTTCTTTAAAGGAATATCTCTAGCTCCACATTGCAAGCCCGTTATTTCATAAACACTGGTAGATGCTCTCGGAGTCTTTTCCAATAACGTGATGTTGGACTACAAGAGCTGTAGCTAAAATATTTCCTCCTGAGGCTTCTAGGCCCTGTCACCTGTGCTCCAAACCGCAGGATTAAGATCACATCTACCTTCATGGAGGGTAGTCTTTTCAACTCTTCCTCCCTCTCACACATGCACACCCCGCAAAACAAAACAAGATACAACTAAGTAGCTACAGCTCAGCCAAACCCAGAAAACTGCTATAAAATCATTGTCTTTTGGAACCAGAAACATTAAGTGGGTTAGCCATTTCAAAACAAAATTTATATGCACGGTGAAAAACATAAAAGGCATTCTAAATGCAAAGAGAAAAACCAACTCTTTCATAACTTAATGTCGTTTTTAAAAAGAGACTAAGAGTTCCCTCGTTAGACATACGCTCGGCTGAAAGTACTGCTTCTCCTTTACAACAGCTTCTGCAATGAGAAGTCTAATATTGAAGCAGGAGACCCAAAATTAAAGGCAATTCTCTATAGTTATTTAGTTAATAAGAAGTCATCTATAGTGAGCTCTTATGGCCACTCGATTTCATTCTCAAATATTCCCTTATGGAAGAATAGGTTACCTTATCTAATGAAGGGTGCTTAAGAACATGGTTTAAAAAGTAGAAGTCTCAACGGAAGTATAAACAACATTTTTTTTCTTTTTACAACTCTCTCTCTCTCTGCATTTATGGCCTACATCATGATACAGCTTAACCAGCCACTTCCCCCATCTGCCTCGCTCACTGGAGAGGCTATTCCTGCTGGAGTTTCCTAAACAGCTGAAAAAAGTAAACAGATCCTGTATCCAACAGGGGCTCTCAATGCCTCTGAGAAAGGCAATGTAAAACTCAGAGAACGTAAGCAAATGAAACCTCATTCCATTTGGGGGATTGTCGTTTTTAAGTTCTGGCTTAAGCAGCATAGAAAACAAATTTCCAAGGCTAGGCAATTCACAAATTTGCTGATTTATTTTGACGTTAATTAAAATCGCAATGAGTTACGTGTGAGCTACTGCATTGTTGGGAAAAGTTGGCTCCCACGTGGGAGTGGGTGTGGTGCTGAGGCTGAGCATCAACGGCTCATCCCGGGGGCACCATGCAATCTTCCCCAGCACTTCAGGAGCTCGATTATATTACGCACGAGTTTATAAATGAGGAAACTTCGGATAAGACCTCTTATACCTGCCCAGAAGTCAAACGCAGCTAGTAATTGTAAAGAAGCGCTAGCCAGGGAGAGTAAAAATACTCTCAGTGAGGGTAAAAATAATAAAGTATGCAAGTACATTTTTGACAGATTGGCTAACCACACGATTTTCAATCCAAGCACAGTACACGTTTAAAAATTAGGAAATATGCACCACCTTTAAACATTTAAACGTTGAAAAGTCAAATGTCAAATGCTCTACAGTGAAAGTTTTCTTTGCAGAGCCTCTTGCTTCACATGGCAGATTGATTCTGTGCCTCTCTTTCTAACGGGGCAGATGCTTTCAAGTCTGGCTGACTGGGGAAAGATAACAATTAATATTAATGATCTTTAGCACCAGATGGCTCACCGTGCAGGTGAAAAACCAACAATCAAGTCATTCTTTGGCAAGTTGCGATAAAATTATGAAATGCTTTATGAAACCAAAACCCTAATAGAGCAAAACTGAGCAGACTGCCATTAAGATTACAGAAGAGCTACAGCCTCCAGGTATATTTAAAATATATAAGCATGAGTAGAATATGTTTTAAAGAAATGCATTGGGGGTATCGATTGGAAGCTGGTTTTCACTTAAAAATAAAATTCAAAACTGGGAAGACTGAAGTTTAGACAAATTTTGAGACTGGGTTTGTCCACGGTTGCCAGCTTCCTTCCTTCGAAAGTCGCTGCACAAATGCACTAAGGCTTTGTAGACTGGCTGAGCTCATCTAAGCTAAATTACATGTTGTTTCAAAGGGTTTACTGATTGTCACTCCGACCTAACAGCCCTGTGCATCATGATGTTCTAACTCAGATATTCCCGGTCAGGCAGGCTATCACTTGTCTCTCTGCCTCTCCCAAACCTCAATCCTCTCCAGCTGCAAATCACCGGGCACTCATCAATTGTCTCTCTTGTTATTACCATCCCATTCTGCCGAGTTGTGTCTGACCCCTCCTCCAAAGCCAGGCTCAACATCACATCTGTGCTAAGCACGGCCTCAGCCCACCCTTCTACGTAGCAGCATTCACTTGGATTCCCTTTCTATGAAGCCTCTGCTGCTTTCTGTTTTCCCCTTTTCTAAATGCTTAAAAGTCTGGGTCCTCTTCTTCCATTATGTGGAAGACACCATGGGGATTTAACATTGTACTGGGAAAAAAAAAAAAAAAAACACAATGCACCGGAGGTTCTATCTGGGGCTTTAGGCAACAAAACTGTTCTAAAATTAAATATAATAAAAAAAACACTAAATTGACACTGTGAGTGGATGAGTTGTATGGTATGAGAATTACAACTCAATAAACCTTTCTTTTAGGAAAAGCTTTTAAAGAAGACTGTCATGAAATTTTTATTTTAAATTCAGAAATCCCGGGGCTTCCTTGGTGGCACAGTGGTTAAGAATCCACCTGCCAATGCGGGGGGACACGGGTTCGAGCCCTGATCCAGGAAGATCCCACATGCTGCGGAGCAACTAAGCCCGTGCGCCACAACTACTGAGGCTGCGTTCTAGAGCCCATGCTCCGCAACAAGAGAAGCCACCACAATGAGAGGCCCGCACACCGCAACAAAGAGTAGCCCCCACTCGCCGCAACTAGAGAAAGCCCACGCGTAGCAATGAAGAAGCAACACAGCCAAAAATAAACAAATAAATACAATTATAAAATAAAATAAATTCAGAAATCCCTAGTCACTGAGAAATGCCATGTTGTTTCCTATCATCCTAATTAAGAAACACAGGCTCCAAGTACACTCCACTTGCTTAAATCATATAGGAAGAAAGGCTGATCTAAAAGCCATACCCCTTTATACCCTATTTTTTTAATGTCCCCTCCATCTTACTTCTGCTTTATAACTCAGAAGGACTGTGTTACAGACATTGAGCACTTGGAATAATTTGTAATACTGAAGTTAATTAAAGGGCAAAGAAAATACTCCTTAATCTGATACAAAAACACTAGCAAACCCTTTATGATCCAACAATTTCCTAGACTCAGAGATGAAGAAGTTCCGTGGTTGGCTGTCTCCTCTCAAGAAGGCTTCCTTCTAAAACAACTTCCCTACCAGGCACTCTCTAGCTTTGCCGGGAAGTTTCTAATTTAACAAAACATGCCGTTCCAGAACTGGGTAACTGTGGTTGTCAGAACATCATTACATACAACTGCAATTTATCTTCTTTAAATTAGCCTGATAAACCAAACTTTGCCTTATGGGATAACAAAGAAAGGTCTATTTCTTTTTTTTCTAAGACTTCCCTTCAAATGCTTAAACTTACTATTTGGGAAATTCTTATTAACTATCTACTACGTGTAGAAGAAAGCATTATACGAAGTTTAAATATTAATAAGACAAATTGTTTGCTCTGAAGGAGGTTACAGTTTAATAAGACAGATTCACAAACTGCTGTAATATAAAAAGAAAAATATACAAAGAGCATACAGAAGCAACAGATTTGGAAACAGAGTTGGGTTAGAATTCTAGCCTTAAGACATAGCTATGAGTAGCTATGACCTTAGGGAAGTTACTTAACCTCATCAAGCCTCAGCTTCCTTGTTTGCAAACTGGGTATTCTAATGTCTAATTACATAGCTGTTGAAGAAAAGAACTGGCGGCAATGTGTGAATACACACACACACACACACACACACACACACACAGAAAGAGCAAGCATGCAGATAAATATGTAAAGGACAGCTGCTTCTGCTATTAATACTATCACTACTATTACTATTATTGTCATCATCATAATTTCCAAGAGAAACATGAAATGTCATGGTTATTCAAAGGAAAGAGATCAGATCTCTTTGGGACAACTAGGAAACACCAGCAAGATGATCATGATTCCTCCATCCGATGGTGTCTTTCTTCCAAGCGGAAAAAACATTCCCAGAAACTTCAACCATACTTCATATGAAATAGTTTAATATCCTGGCCTCTTTTCTCTAGTTTCTTCCCATTTTGTGAAAACTTCCCCAAGCCTCTACCAAGGACAGAACACAACGCTCTAAACGCATTAATCATACATTCACTCACCAGTTCTCTCATTCACTAATTTATTCAAAAGATGTTTCACTACCTTCTGCATTCCAGGCACTCTACTAGGCCTAGAGATTGTTCTTAATGATTAAGAACATGTTTCTGTCTACAGGAAGCAGAGACTCCAGTGAAGGGAACAGTCATCTTTACAAGTATCTGCAATAAAGCGATCTCATACCAAAACACTAGCAAACTATGATCACCATGTAAGTATCAAGAGA